ATTACAATTTCTCTCAATTTAGTCATACTTTTAATAAATTAAAATAAATTCAATCATTCAATCGAACGATATCACATGTTATACCAGTAAGGTTGTTAAAAAATATCATACCCGATTGAGCTGACCCGTCGACCCGCTGACCCAGTTAAAAAATATATGGTATTTATAATAAAAATACATGATTTTCCGGGTCGGGTATCCTACCGGGTTTATGGGTTGAGCATAAGTCACAAAATGTTGGTTAATCAGGTACCCTCCGATATGGTACTCGATTTATTGTATATTTTTTTATTTTTATTTTATATTAAATTTTTATTCATAATCCTCAAACTATTTCACTCTAACATTCTAAAATCCTAATTTATTAAATTTTGACAACATAACGTTCTAAATGCATAATTTATTAAATTATTTCACATTAACATTCTAAATTATTTTTTTAAATATTTATTTTAACTTCAAAATATTTGAAATTTAATTATATTTCTTTATTTTAAATTTTAATAAATTTTATTTCAATTATGTAATTTGAATTTTTAAACTTTATGTGTGGATTATATATATTATAGACTTTTAAATTTTAGAATTTTAGAATTTTTTATATAACTTTTTTTAAAATAATATAATTTAAAGAAAATAAAAAAACAATTATGAAGGTACCCGTGACCCGAATTATATATAATATAATTTTATATATATTAACTTAAAATATTTTTATATTAACTTATCAAATATATTTTACTGTTAACTTAATTTAAAAATATTTTTTTATTTTCATTTAAAAATATATATTTTATATTAATTTATTAAAAATATGACTAAATTGAGAGAATACGTAACTAACAAGGATAAAATGTATGAATATATCAAAATATTTAACTATTGTTAATGACAGTTAACTCGAAGTGACAAATCTTGTTTAAATAAAGATGTGACCATATCTTCTATATTTTGAAATCAGTGACCAAAAGTGAATAAAACTCAAAGATAAGTGATCAACGGTGTAGTTAAACCCATATGATAACGTGGATAACTTTTCCCTGCGTTGAAGAAAGATGGGTCATGGATTGATTATGTGGCTTGATATGGACCATACACGTGCCTTCAATAATTGACTTTACTTGATATCAGCGGTTCATCTCCACAGATTCAACGTCGACGTGCGGCGAAATAACTTCCTCAATTCCACGTCTAATGTTTCTTACCAAATTGTCCTTTTCCACGTTATACATATGCAAAGGAAAAGTGTTTTTTTCTTTTTTTTTTTATTGTAAGGCTTAATATCAAAATAAGTGTCCGAATTATGTCAATTTTCTCAAATAAGTGCTTAATTTTTTTTACTCATCTAGGTGCCTAACATTACAAACGTTACATATTCAGGTGTTCGAGCTATCAACGAAGTTAATTTTCTTCGTTAAGTGACATATTTCACAATCGGGTGATTTTAAAATTTATTTTTTAAATAAAATATTATGATATTTATAAAAAATAACTTTTATTATATTATAAAATAATCCCAAAAATCTCAAATCCTAACCTTAATTTGCCGCTGCCGCCCTTTCCGGCTATGACCGCTGCCACCGACATAGTCCCTACCATCCTCCTACTCATACGTCGTATTTTTCGTCGATTGGGCGTCGAAATCTTGTGGGGTTGCGATTTTCATCCTAGAGTTCGTGATGTATAAAACCAATGTTTTTAAAACTAGACCGGACCTTAAACCGGTGAAGGTACTGGTTTACTGGTTCAACCGTGGTTAAACCGTGGTTGAACCGGTTTATATAAAATAATTTTTTTTATAAAAAACTTACATAATATTCAAAGCAATATATATATATATATATATATTAAAAGGTATAAAAATATCACAAGTCATAACATATATAAGTTAAATACCATAATATCAAGTGAAACAAAATGATTCAAATCAACTACAATATAATATTTAAGGTCAATATCTAATGAAATTCATCAACAACTAAATAAAAAAAGTACATAATTGATACAAGTATCAATCATCATAATATTCATTGAAATTGATTCCCTCATAAATTCTCAAACAATACTTAACAATTAAAAGTAAAAGTGTAAAACATATTAAATAATAAATATAATTATATAACTAAAATAAACAAGCAAAGATTAAGCTTCATTGTTTTTTTATGATAATTATATAACTAAAATAAATTTGAGGCTGAAAAAAATCATAACAAACGACGTTGTTTGATTTAATTTAAAAAAAAACCGAACTGCTGGTTCACACCGGTTTTGCCGGTTCCCAACCGGTTCACATCGATTTTGCCGGTTCCCAACCGGTTCTACCGATTCTTTAACGGTTCATTGCAAAACTGGTTTTGGAGGCTGACCGGACCGGACAGGCAACAAGTTCCCGATTCAACCGGTCGAACCGGCCGGCCTGTTCCGGTTTTGATAACATTGTATAAAACGTTGATTTATCATCGATCGACCACGATTTCATGGAGATTTTGGTCACCGGGGGAGGGGAGGTCGGGTGGAGCTTCATCGATGGCAATAGGTGGCGGTCGGTGTGAGTTTAGGGGTTGAAATGAGGTTTTCAAAGTTTTGAGTTTATTTCAAATTTTGTGTGTTTTTTTTAAATATATATATATATAATTTTAATTTTTAATTTTTTAAATAATTTTTTTAAAATTATCAGGTTGTGACATGTGTCACTTAATGGAGGAATTAACACCGTTGATGGCTCAGGCACCTAAATGGGCAACGTTTGCAACGTTAGGCATCAGGATTATTCAAAAAATAGTTTAAGCGCCTATTTAAAAAAAGAGATATAATTTGGACACTTATTTTGGTATTAAGCCTTATTATAATGTGCATAAATTATTAAAACATTTTATAAAAAGTATATTTTAGAAAATTTTAATAGATTTATGAGTCTCATAGCTAAATATAAATAATAATTTAAATTATTTTATAATTAAAAATCATAGAAAAATATGAAAAATAAAAATATAATAATAATGTTAATTATGTAGATCGATTGTTTTTAAATAAAATTACTAACGGATTAAACCAGGACGTCAACTGATTAATAATTTTTAATTTATAAGAACATAGAAGATGGAATGGGCATAGAAGTAATTGCAGCGTAAAATATTCGAAATTACCATTCTCTAACAGTGAATCACCTACACACTATATAAATGCCGTCAAATACCCCAATTTTCACCTCACAAATTTTCTGTTTTTTTCCCTTTCTTGTTTAACTCCCCTTCCAAGGAAATAACGTTCTTATTTGCGCTTCTCACGAGGTTTTTGAACAAGATTGCTTATCGTCGACGATGAAGATTTCAGGCCTCTTTGCTGCTTCCATGGCTGCTGCCTCTGCTTCTGCCGCTCTCATCTCTGCCTCTTCTTCTTCTCCTTCCCCTCTTACTTGCAATTCCAATTTTCAGTTTTCTAGAGAGGTAATCCTTTTTTTTTACTCTTTTTTATTTATAAAAATCTGGGTTTCTCCTCTCTCTCCTTTTTTTTCAAGAATTTTTCCATGTTTGGCTGCCGAGAAAATAATGAACAAGAATTCATGATTCCAACGTTGTTCGCAGTTTTCTAATGTTTAATGTCGACATCTTTCTTCGCGTAGTTTTGATTTGGACGTTTGAGCTTTTTCCGGTTTTCAATCTTTCCCTGCCTCATGAAATCTTCAAATATTTTTCACATGGTGTCTTTGGTTTTGTTCTTTGAAGATTAAAAACCATTCTCTCTTTTTTTCCTTTTAAATTTATTAATTTTCTTAATATTGCAGAAGGAGAAAGGGCAAGAAAATCCAACAACCAAGAAATCAACATTGACCGAGAAATTTGCGCCCAGGTTTGATGGCCTAAGGTTCATTGAGACTTTGATCACTGCTCACAGATAAAGCCCCCACACCATAAGCTTCGGTTTTCACCTGATTTGAAGATTCTTTTTTCTCTTTTAATTGTTTTGAATTTGACTTTTTTCGCATGTCGTAAATTGTTAAGAAAGATGAAATTGTAATATTTCTGGGTTTTCACCTCGTAAAATTTTTGGTATAAAAGTCTTGCATTTATTTTTTTTTTAATTTGAATTGTATCTAAATATAATTATATAAAACAATTAAATTGAAATCAGACCACCACGAATTCCAATTCAATTTTGTTAACCTATTCCTAGTTTTGGGCTGAATCATCAGTGATCGCCGAACTAATATATATATATATATATATATATATATATATATATATATATTATGCACGTATCAATTTACTTAAATTGTTAAAATAATTATCGATATTTTAAGAGATTATATATTCGAACACTAGTGATTGCAGTAGAAAAAAAATATTACACTTGTATGTATCTCATTTGGTAGTTTATCCATTATCGATTAATCTCTTAATTAGATATTGTAGAAATTTATCACGAGACGATCTCTTTAATCTAATTTACTCTGTATATACGTAGAATTCATATCTTTTTTGATTAATCTAAGGTTATTATTAAGTAGTATCTATTCTAAATACTCTAAATCATTTGATTATGAATGTTTAATCACCTTACTTACAGTTGATGGTGCTCGAACCAGTGACTTTTAGAAATAACAACTATTTCTTTAACCACTGAGGTAAGTTGATTCATGTAGAATTGACATCTTAATTTTTTTTTAATATCTGGCACTTACATTCAGTTTCAATTATATTTAAGATGGAGTTAAATTAATCCCTTAAACGAGGATAAGGTTCTATCAATATTGCCTTATCTTTCTCTGTTAGACAATGATCCAACTTTATGCCATATGCATTCTTTTCTCCACCCAATTGGATTGTAATTTGTGGAAAAAACCCACCATTGACGCAAAGGCTTCTTGCTTTCAAAATGCCGTGCTGCTATGTGGAATGACGTGTAACTCGTTTCACACACTACATCCACTTATGGTGGCTATAAAAAAAATAATTAAAAAGAGACTTTTATAAAGATATTAAAAAAAGTTCATGATTCAATTTGTTTAACTTATAAAGATATTAAAACTCAGTTTATACAATTTTTTAAAAGGAAAAACAACGATAAACAATATGGATTAATATCCACGTTAGTTTTTGAAATAATTCATGGCAAGTGAGACAAGGTGAGAAGAAAAGCAGAGACGAGGATGAGCAGTGCAGGATGAAGAAAGGGAGGCGCAGCGCTGGATTTGGGGACTTCGGAGCATAAGAGACCTTCTTTGTCTTTGGTGCACAAATTGGCGAACAATCCCGGCGGGTATTTCCCGTACAGGTTTATGTAACTGAACATGGTGGGAGCACAGTTGGTGCCTTGGTCGTTCACCTTGTCCACAAAGGGGCAAGCGAAATCGCTCAGTGCATTGCAACACCCTTCGCGTGGATATTGGGGTCCTTTGCACATTGTTGTCAGGATCGTGTAGTTCTTGTGCTGGAAGTCTTCGTCGCATTCTGTAGGAACGAGGTCGAATCATGTTAAATTAAAGCGTAACGATTAAATTTCGAATTTGAACATCAGTATGAAATCTTTTAAAAATTTATAACTAGCATTCACATTCGAGTTTAGGGGGCAAAAATAAATGAGATTTCCAATCGGAAAGTAATCGGGATTTTTGTTTTCCTTATTTTTCAGCAATAATGAAACGTACCCTTTTTGGCCTGGAGGAGGATACGCCCAATAGTTTCATGACCTTCCAAGGCTGCTTCTGCATGCAAATTAAACAGAACGTAAAGTTGAACTCAAAACATACATGCATAGAAGAAAGTAAAATGAAAAACAAGGAGAGAGAGAGAGAGAGGAAGGATTACTTGAAATGTGGGAGGAAGAGCCAAACCCAGATGGAAGGAAAAAGAAAGCAAGAAAGAAAAAGGTTAGATTTAAGGAATTTAAACCCATAATTCCTTTTCTTTTGAATTTCTGGGAGATCGTATAATAATAAAGATTTATGATCTCCTCACCCCCAATGGCCAAGCCCCCCCCCCCCTTCTTCTTTTCGTTTCGACTCTGTTTTTCTTCTTTGTTTGAGAGAAGAGGAGGATATGAGAGAAAAATGTTGCAAAACTGTTGGAACGATATTTTTCTATCTTTTGGACAAAAAAATTCAATGCAAGTCAGTTTGCATGCTTATGTTTGTTAATTCATTACTTGGATGTAAGATAACAATTTGCTATAAATTGTTTTTAGCAAGTTAACACGATAAAAACGCGAGAGTTTTAACGTATAAAACTATAGATAATTAAAAACAAATTCATGTTTCAAGTCTATGGATAATTATCGCTTGATCAAAATTTAATCATCATTCGATTTGAGACTTTAATGAGTCGAATTACAATAAATCACTGTGCAAATTGTTAATGTTGTTATATATTTTTAAGATATTTATTGTATTATTTTAATGATTATGTATTTTACAACATTTTTTTAAAGAATAATTATAATATATTAGTTTGACAGAATTTAAACTTTAAAATTATTTCACAGTATTTTGATTAATTTTTTGTTAAATTTATTAATTTATGGTTATATATATGTATATTAGGAAAACAAGATAAAAATTCTGCTGAACTCAATAAGCAACAAATTCTTTTAACGAGCACAAGTCAAACAAAATATTATCAAACTTATCGAGTCAAGCACAAGTCAAACAATTTTCGAATCAAGTCGAACACTCCTTAACTCATGATCAACTCGCTCGATAACCAACCCTATTCACCATCCCTCATAATGAATATTTTCCTCACATTCCATCATCTTAATTTTGTGATTTTGAGTTCCATAACACCAACTTATGTAAGAAATTATAAGCAAATAAATCTATTTAAAATAAAATAAAACATATTTTGAGTTACATAACACCAAAAATAACATTCTCTGCAATATATCTTAAAATTTCTGATTGAATCAGAATATAATATAACAACTCAAATGACAATCAAACAAGACCCTTTTATAAATCAAAATAGGTACTTTTCATAAACTCTGAAGAGCTTAGCAGTCAAATATGGCACAGCTTGTCACTTAACTCTTCCTATTATCTTATCAGTAGTTATCGATGCGATTGAATCAAATCATATAAACCTATATATATATATAAAACTGAGAAACTATGTTATTGAAATTGAATAAGAACTGAATACTGAATCAATAAGCAAATACATACCTACACAAGTAGCGAAATCTTGTTTCTGATTGCCGGCAGGTATCTCGTTAAATTTATCAGCTGTCAACAAATGTCCCTAGAGTGTCTTACTTTACGAGTGATGGACCTGCCCATCCGCAGGCGTCGAGTTGTCAGTGCTTCTAGCAAAACAACTAAAGCATCTTCGACTGCATCAGCCTGTTTATCCAATCCATGGATGCTACACTCTGGAAGAAGCTGCAGCTCAGAAAGAACACCGATAGCCGCCGCCGCCGTACAAGTACGGTCCCATGATGGTTGAGGTCTACTCTCGAAACAACATAAACTGTTACTATATACTTCAACTGATCCAAAGGGATAAAGGAGCCAAAATAAGAAGCGGATGCCGATGAAAAGCAATTGCTTTACAACTTTGCTTGCTCCTACATGTAACATTTCTATATAACTTTTAATATATGGTGCTGGAAGCTTTGTAAAATGCTTAAGCAAATTACCTTGAGACGCCTGAACATTGCTGCAGAATTGCTCCACGTACCATCAATCAGAACAAAATTCAGAGGCCTATCATTATTTGTCTGTGAAACAAAATCAATATAAAAGTTGCATAAAGAAATCTAAGTTACATATTACAAAGAATATATTGTATTTTAACTTAGATGTGCTAATGCAAGAGCTTTCTGCGTTTTGTTTCCATCTCTTTTTCCAATAAAAGTTGTTTCAGTGACATGTAAAATACAATCTCGATAAAGTTCAAATATGGTGAAAAGATAGTTCATACAAAGCATACAGGAAAGAACTCAGAAAACCAGCAAAATTACAACAATTCAGGTTGTCTTTTGAAAATGGCATTAGAATATATCAATTCAATTAGAATCCAAAAAAAAATCTATCTGAAATAGCTTATCATCAAGCAGCAGTTCCATGCTTTTTTATTTTTTGGAGTTTGGTGAAATATGACCTTTAGTAATGAAGTGATCAACACCCTTTCAAAATCAACAAATTACTCATCAAATATTTTTTTGTAAAATGCAAAGCAAGCAAAATGTATAAAGAGGACAGTACCGACGAGTATGCACATTTCATATCTGCTGAAGATTGACAGCTAAAGGCATCCTGAAATGTCTTTGGCACTGTGTTTTGATTTGGATAAAGGCACCAAACCTTGTCTTTTCCTGAGATTTCAAAGAAAATTATCAAAACTCACTAGGAAGACCTTTATTTAACACCAAAATGTAAATGAACTAAACTATAAAGGTGGAGCATCTGCACGACAAGATACAAAAGGCAATAGCTTCACCAAACATTGATAATGATGTTCTGAAAAATAGTTTGCTAGAAGTCCTTTATTCATAATAACAAATGAACGGCATGGAAAAGGCAAACCAAAAAATTTATGTTACCCTCAGTCAAAAAGATCAGATGATAGCTTAACATAAATGCAATAAAAGATTATTAACACGAAGAAAAGAATGTGATTACCCAAGTGCAAAGAAAAGAAAAAAATATTTTCATTATATTACACATCCAATGGACCAAAAGTAACTTCATCTGTTTCGAAATAAGCTTTAAAATTCAACCACATGATCCCAAATTAATTTACCCCATCAATACTGCAATATTTCTCTATTTTAGAAGAAGGCTGAAAGAAACCTGCTTCCTTAAATGCATTCCACATGGGAAGCCAACACTGAAAATTGGTCAATTCATTACCAAATCATGACAAAGTAGGGAAATCAGTTTTAAAGGTTGTTATTCTTCTTTGAAACATAACAAAGAAATCTCTGAAAACACACACCTTCTGGCATAGGTAGCCCCAACTTCCAAGCAACAGGCATGCTATTTGTCGAGCCGAAAAGAACTGGAACTTCTTGCTGAGTCACCCAAAGTCTAATATTTAGCCCTATGCTTCTTATCCTCTTGGACTTTAAAATCCCCCTAATTTTGACCGCAATAGACCTTAAGTAAGAAAACGCAACAACAGGCTAATACTAAATGGCATAATTACAAATGAAAAAAGCAATAATGGAAAGATATGATCATCGCTAACAAATATCAGTTAACAAACTGATAATTAAACTATCTGCTTTTATTGACTTAAAACCATTTGATATCCATGAAACTTGGAACATATATATTGTCTTCGAGATGCAATAGCATATACGATCCAAATACTGTGAAATCATAATGCTACATTCCTTGAAACATACTCCGATCAATTTCACATCGTTTCAGATATCAAAAATGAAATAGAAAAAGAATGAAAATTTCCTTCACATCATCAGAAATAAGTAAATCAAAACTAAATACCAAAGCAAACACATACTATATATATTATAAAGATGAATGGAGAACCTGTAATTTGCCGCCATTACCGCCAAAAACCATTTGGGCATCAATATTGTTCTCCAAAAGTTTCAATTCCTTAATGACGGAGTTCACCATTTCCGGCACTGGAGATACGCAGCCCCATCCTTGCCACTCCTTCAACGTTATGGCGCCACCGCAATCAGTCCGTTTGATTCGGCTTCTCTTGGAGAAGAACGAGAGGCAGAGCTCATGATTAAGCTGTTAAGGCCTCTGGATCTATACTTTATATGGGTTTTGAGTGAGAATTTGAGAGACGGGAAAATTTGCAATGTAAATGTCAATAAGCTATTGCCTGGCGCCGCTCAACATGGTTCTTCGCCGGGTTTTCTCAGGTTCTTCTCTTCTTTTTTCCTTTGCTATTTTTGTTAATAATTCGGACTTTATTATTGGCCCAAAAATCATGGGCCATAATATGACCCGATCACTTCATTCTCTTTTTGTAGATGAATCAAGTTTGAATAAATATATTTTTTATTTTTCGGGTTCATAAAAAAATTTACACTCATGTTGATATTTAAATAAATAAATAAATAAATTTATTTATTTAATATTTATATATATTAAATGAACATGTTACCAACATTTCAATGAACGTATAATCAAAGATATTCACGAACAATTAAAAATGTATTCGTGAATAATAACAAAAATAAATTATAAATGAACATAATTCTTATTCCTATATATAAAATAATCAAATATAAATATAAAAAGTTATATTATACATACATAAATAAAATACAAATATTTTAAACATCTTTTATATAAAAAAAATGTCAAATTTAAATAAACAAGTTAATTCATAAACAAAAAAAAATCGAATATTTATATTCAAATTCGTTTAGATAAATATAATTTTTTTATTAATATATATTTGTTTAGTTTAATAAACGAATAATATACAAATATATTACTAAATAATTTAAGCAATAACCCTACTCTTAATGTCCAAGAGAGTGTATTATTATTTGATACAAATTTAGGATTGTCCTCCCGGTTCCAAGGCTTTGCCTTGATTAATCTGGACTGACCCTGTCTCACACTTGATTTTGGTGGATAAGTCTTCTAACAGAGATTTTCTGTAATCACTATTAATAATTATAGAGGATCTCAATCCCATCTTTTCGATCAACAATAAAATCACGCAGAGTTTTTGGTAGGTGGGTGTTAGTGTGACAATCCACCCATCATTCATATAATAAAATATAATTATTTACAAAACTATAAAACATGTAGTAATTTAAATATATAAACGTAGGTTATTTATAATTACCTTTGAAGTATTGAAAATTCTAATGGGGTCTGTTGTATAGGAATCAACACTAAAAATGGCATTCGAAACCAATCCCATGATTGTAACAACATCAAACAGCCTCCAATTGCTTGCTTGTTCAGATGAACAACTTTACGTAGCTCCCGGAACAAAAATGCCAACACTGTCGATCCACAACTCTTATTTTTAGCGTCCCATAAAACGCATAGATGATACAACCACATCAGATGCATTTTGTTTAAGTATTTATCAGGCATCAAGATTCTCCAATAACTTGTAAAATATAAGCACAAGCAAATTACTGTAAAATAAAAATGGTGCGAATAAATTAAAAATTTATCATAAAAATTACAATAACATAAACTAAAACAAAATTTAAATATTATAAATAAATAAATTAAAATAAATAAACATAAATTTAAAAAATCACATGTTTAATTTCTGGAGCAACATCGGTGTGTAGCTACGAAAAAATGTCATCCAAAAATTTAATGTAGATCTTTCCTCCATCCAAATTGTCCTCTGTTGGAGTAAGTTCGAGCAGTTCCACACTCAAGGTTTTCCAATCCCCATGAGCAATACCAGTAATAGGATTTCCTTCAACAGGTAGCCTAAGATGGTATGCAACATCTTCAAGGGTAATAGTTGTCACCCCATAAGGAAAATGAAACATGTGCGTCTCCGGTCTCCACCATTCTAGCAACGTGTTTATCAATGAAGGATGCAACTTCATACCACTAATAACGGTGCTAACGTAACCAAAATCGGCTTCGTGCATATATGAAATAATATCGACATCAGGGCTCGAGAAACAGTTGATATAACATGTCAACGAACGTTCATATCCTTCAAATAAATAAATAAATTTGAAATAAATAAATCAACAAATCATTTAAAATAAATTATTACAAAAATAAATAAATAATTCAAAGTAAATAAATAAATAAAGCTTACCTCCAGATTTATCCGCTAATAATCGCATACGCGCAGAAGATCAACCCTCAAGAATCTCACCATTATAATATAAGAGAGAAAATATGTGAGAGGGAGTTTTTTTTCTTGAGTAAAGGTGTGAGAAATTTCGGGTAGGGTTTCTTATTTATAATCATCCTCGCACTGCCTCAAAGCGAGGTTAAAGGTACCTCTCATTCTATGAAGCGTGAGGTTAGGGGAATCTTTTCAAATTTTAATTTTTTCGTGTTCATATCGAAATTTGAGTTTTCTTCGATTAGTTACTTATTTTAATGACGATGAACCCTAAAATTTTATTTATACTCTTTCGTTTAAAAATATGTTATTAACATAGGTATGCCCATCCTAAAAAAATATTTCTATATCCGCCACATAGCATCACCCTCAAATTTGGCCGATGATTTTACAATCACCTGCCCATTCTCAACTTGTTTCTCTTGCGTTTGAAGCAACAACTTTTTCCCACTGAGCATAATCTGGGAAAATACGCAAATTAAAATAAATTAGAAATCAAAAACATTTTAGTTAAATTTGAGAGCAACTTAAGTCAAGCATTTGGTTTTTCTGGACAATTCAACGTTGAGGAGCGGGCACCCACAATCACAGGACGCAGGTTAGTTAGAGGGAAAAATCTAAGAAATGGGGCAGTGTTTAGGTGGAGAAGGAAAGGCAGAGGAGTCTTCGTAGCATAAACGAAAACCTGGAGATTAGACTCATTCAACACCAATATAATTACCCCGAAATGATTTGGTACACTGATCTTTTAGGTTATAATAATATTTTTTTGGTATTTCAATTGTTTAGAAAAATATTTTATCATTGTATTTCAGTTGTTTAAAGGAGAATTTATTTTCCATCTGTGGTTGCTGTGGTTGTGGAATTTCAATAGTTAATTTGATTGTTCCCTTAGTATTGATTAGTTAAAAAGAGTAAAGTATACAAAAAGTCTTTCGACTATGGGGTGTTGTTTTTTAAGTCTCTGACTATTAAAAGTTACAAAATGGTCATTTGACTATAGGTAGTTGCTTTATTGAGCCTCTGACTATTAAAAGTTATCAAATGACCGTCCGACTAATCATTATGTTCCAAGTTTGTCCTTTTCCCTTAAAAGTTTTGCAACAGTCTAAGTTGAATTTTAATATGTTATATGAGATATGATAAAATATGATCTCATAATCTCAAATGACTATCATATCTCAGACAACAGATTAACATCTAACTCAAACATTCAACAAAGAAGTATCTTATAATTAGGTGATCATTCGTGTACTCTACCCTAAAATATATTAAATATCACATAAGTTAATTCAATTGACTAATCAAAATATCATAATAATAATGAGTGTCGATTTCAGAAGAAGAAATAAACTTTCAGATTATTTCTCTTTTTTTCACTAATAAAAAATTTAGATATCAAATTAAGAAAAATTAAGTTTTATCTTCTTTGAAAGATACTTTTGATTTTGTTTATATTATTTTGTACTTCAAGTTATAAATATCATGTGATGATATTGTTAAGTTTATAATTTCTATGTAACACCTAATATGAATTAATGTCACCTGCAGCTTTTTCTTTCTTAATTAGCTTTTAAAATTTATGGGTTTATCAGAAGTGGAGTCTAGGTAGTCGCTACCAAAATAGGTTAGGCCACGATCGAACCTATATCTACTCATTAACACATCCAATAAATACAATCAGATCAAAATTGTTTAGGGTGTTTATTTTTTTTTTACAGAGAATGGTTTTTAAATTTAAATACAATAATGAGTAAATATTAGGGATGAGCATAGGTTGGGTGGGGTCTGATTTTCGATCCATCCGACCGAATTCGAAAATTATAAATCCTCCAATCGACATGAACTCGATCCGAAAAATACACACCTTTCACTTAACCTGAACTTGACTCAGTTTTTTGAGATAAAATCCAAACTTGATCCGATCCGACCCAAAATAATACATTTATTAAAAAAATATTATCTTATTCAATATAAATAGGGATTTAATTGAAAGAAAATAATATATAGAGAGGTATTATTATAATTAATCCTAAATATATAAGATAAAATTACAATTTTTCTCGGGTCAAGTATTTTTATGTTAAACACGAGCCTACCTGAAAATAATCTTAAAAAAATGACTCGACCTAATCCGAACCCAAATTTTAAAAAAATCAACTCGATCAAATCGGATCGGGTCAGAACCCACCTAAATCAAGTCTCATGTCCATGCCTAATAAATATATTCGATCCCATTTTCTTTCTTTCTTCCTAGAGTTTCTCTTTTTTAATACCTTTAAATAAGACTAGATTAGATTTAAAAATTATATAAAAAAAATAATGTAAAAAATAAAAACAAAACTCTAATGTAATGTCCAATAAAAATATTATTTCTTCCTTATATTTTAGGATATTTGTTCACAATAAATTAATTTTATTTGATCATTTTTAATATGCTTAAATATACAAAAGGTGTCCAACGTATGTCCGTTTTTCCAGTTTAGTTGTAACACCCCCAACCCGTATCCGACCCGGATACGAGTCCGAAGTGTCACATTGTCTTTTCAAACATTTATTCATATAAAATAGTGAGTAATTTAAAAACTTTTATAACATTGAACTTATTCAAAACGTTTACAAAATTATTCAGAGCTTATACAATATATATTCTTTTGATTACATGCCAACTAAAACTTTATTTATTAAAATACATATTATTCACCTCTTTTCTGATCTGACATTTGGTAAGGAGAACTGACCTGTCTTGCTCCATATCGCTCTTTACTCTTCTCGAAACCTACGTGTGAAACAAGCACACACTAAGTCGTTGACTTAGTGAGGCAAATAAACATATAATAAAAACCATAGAACATTTCATATAACAAAACACATACCTGTACAAATACTATCATTATCATTAACATATCTATCATATAATATCATACATTTTTCCAATCAATACCCATTTCATCTGATGAATATGTATTCTAAATATTTGATCATGACATTTCAATATGCATGTATCTATTACACGATAACATATATAATCATATCATGCACATACGAAACTTACCT